TCAGACCATTGTGGTTTGGATGTATAAGATCATCATAGTTTGGATGTATAAGATCATCATAGTTTATTATTACCTCTTGTTAGCGCAGATATGAGATGATGCTCCACATTCTTTGAATCTTTTGCGTCACAGCACGAACAGATCTCTACTGTTCTGGCAAACCTTCTAAACTATCTCTCGAGGGGGAAAGGGAAGTGCGTGGGCACTATTCAGATTTGAGCTTACCTCTCTATTCAAAATGACATTTGATGACTTAAGTGGTAATATTTATATGAGTTCTAAGAAACCCTAGCTCTAAGCTCATTGGGCTCTAGGTTTCTTGGGTTCTTCTCATACTGTTAGCCCATTTAGGCTTTAGTAAAAGACCACAAACCCAACATATGGTTCTTCACATGATATCATGACGACGTCATTTTTTTCACATGAGAGGATCCATATCCCATTTTAATACACACTTACTCCACATCATTTGTGTTCACCGTTTTCTTCTTTTTAATTTTTAATTTTCTTTTCTTTTCACTATAAAATCATTAATATAATCTCGCCTAACAGCTTAAGCTTTTAGGTTGAATCAGTTCTTTACATGGTATCTGGTCATCCGTGACCAATTGGTCAGGAATTCAATCCTCACCGCCCTCATTCTCTTAGAAAAATAATTATTTATTGTTAACTTTCTTGGAATAGTGATCATAATGCCATTGTTCACCAAATAAATTTTTAAAATGTCACGCGAACAGTACAACTTTCCAACATGCCACACGTTATAATTCGCTACACCAAGCAGCAAACTTTGTTTACTTATGTGACACGTTTCTGGTGACCACCTAATTCGCTACAGGTACAAGCAAACTAGGTGGTCAATGTATCAGTCCTCGCTTTGAGAAATTCAGGACACGTGGCAGCCCCATAGAAGTTCACTATAAGGTATAGAAAACTACTTCTAACGGTCAGAAAAAAAAGCCGATGGGCCACATGTTAGACATGCACAAGTTCGCTACACAAGATAGGGAACTATGTCCACTTGGCAGCATGGATAAATCCCCCCTCCACCCTTATTTCCCCACCCCAAACTCTTAATCTATCTCATTATCTTACTCTTTCTCTCTCTAAAATTTCAAAATTGTTCTCTCCCTAAGGTCAATGTTTTATAAATTATTATTTATACATTATTCGTGTTTCTTATTTTATTATTTATGCATTGTTAGTTTTTGAATATTATTTAAGGTTGAGATTTGAAACTTTAGGTTAGAAGATATGTTAATTTATTGAAACCATAGGATAGAACCAATATGTTTTATATTATTTATTTTATTAGTATTTATTTTATGACTTCACACCTTTGGTTAGCGGATATTTTGTATTTTTTTTAACTTTAAGATTTAGCCAATGAATTGACACCTTATATTAATTGAAAATGTAGGGAAAATATATTAAAATAGTAAGATAGTTAGTGAATTATTATATATTAAAAAAATAATTTTAAATTGTTTTATAGTAATTATTTAAACACATTTTATTTTAGGTCTCGTAACCTTAGATTAGAGGACATGTTATTATTTGGTGAATTAATATCTAGATGGTGAATTATTTAATATTTAAAAATTTAATTATCGTATCTAAATAGGAAAATAAATTAAAGGCTAATATAATATGATTATTCTTCTAAATATATCCATGGAGCATGTTGATGTCCCACATCCTGGGTCTCCGCGAAGCGTGATTGACCTCGGTCCCTTCGACCATTCTCTCCTGACATTACAGGAGAAACATATATCCACGCATGTATGGAATACCGCTGAGGATCCCAAAATGCAGGATCGTGTACTTGATGTTAGACATTTCTGATGCAGGCTGGTTTTTATCACGTTGCGCGCCTGCTCTACCATGAGGTAAGTATACTCTTATTGTATAACCTTGTATTATGGTGCTATGATAGTAATATATTGATGACATCATACCGTATTTGATTTCATATCGACTATCACCTTATGTCGGCGCTTGTCGAGCGATGGCGCCCAGAGATACGTACATTTCGTATGACGATGGGTGAGGTTACCATCACGTTGGAGGATGTACACTATCTATTGGGTTTGCCCACATATAGTGAGGTTATCTCGGGCCGCGTCGGATAATATCCATGTCGACAAATGATTCGTGACTTCTTAAGAATTGAGTCAGAGAACGATCAATATTTGCATGGAGGTTTATTGGGCCTCCACTTTCTGCGGGAGCGGTTTGACAATTATGGGGTCCACGCTGGCACAAAAGTTGGTCGTATGAGATACACCCACACATTTACATTTCGTATCTTGGTCGTGGCATTGTTTGTGGACACCACCTCCAGTTTTGTACCCGTAAGATATTTATTATTTCTAGATGATTTTCAACACTCAGATACTTTAGCTGGGGTTCCGCTGTTCTTGCATACTTGTACAAGGAGTTGTGCAAGGTTATAGACATGCGATGCTCCGATATGGGTGGGTGCGCATTGCTATTGTAATTATGGGCGTGAACCAGATTCCCGTCTATCTCTTCTGCTCTCTTGATGTGTCCGATCTAGATGCCATATACGGAGCTAAGTACTGCATACTTATTTTTTATTCAAGGACTATAAAATTATTCGGTTTATATATTGCTAATACTCCAAACTCACATTTGCAAGATTAATGTGTACACTATGCGACAGGTGTTATATACACACATCCGCAGATATCGCCATTATATGGTTACTAACCTGGATCTAGTGGGTCTTGTATTTCGACAATGCCCAAATAAGGAATCAGTTGACATGCTGGATTAGGCGGACAACAATCGAAATCACCGTCGACGTCCATATCCGATGAGTCACTGTCCGGAACAAGACCTTTGTCCACCTCTTCCTCTGAACTGTTCGTACGCCAAGTTAGATCGTACATGTCGTTGGCTGGAAACATTTCAGAATACATTGGTTGGGTTAGTGGTGGTGAGGGGTGAAACATACCTATCTTCCGGATTAACTAGCGGCTCCTTGTTATTGTTGATGCAGTCAATGGATGGGAAGGAATGTTGAATGCTTGACTGTTCGCCAGAGTTTACTTTCGCATACAGTTCGATAAATCTAGAGTCTTCATGTGATGATGTGCATGCGTATCTACTTACGCTACATCTTCATCCTCGACAATCTTCAAAGCAACCCACTATACCAGGTTACCCGAGGCGTATCTAGCAGTCAATCGAAAGAGAAATTGACCCCATTGTAATATTAGTTTCTTGTATATTATATTCTTTAGGTCATTATAATTGCATCGAGGGCTCATGCGAAATATTTTGTTATCACCTTAAAAAAACTTGACCATTCGGTCCAAAATATCTCCTCTCATTATAATATACAATGGTGATTAAATCATTCATATTATCACTCATGATGCAAAAATAGAAATAAAAATAACAAATAACAAGGAACAAAAAACTAGGGCTTAACAAATAAAATGCAAGTTTTTTTAAGGAAGATGAGCGGTCGTGGTAACTAGGGGTGTTCGCGGTCTGGATTGGATCGATTTTGGAAGCAAAAATCATCCGATCCAATTACTTCGATTTGATCATATAATCATCCAATCGGTTTTGATTTTTTTCAAATCTGATCCGATCCAATCCAATTTTTTTCGGTTTGGATTGGATCGGTTTTCGATTTTTTGAAAATCCTAAAATTTATTTTATGATTATTATGCAAATAACATATTTTGCATATATTGAATTTGTACATTTTTTTTTTTGAAATATAAAAGCATTAGTAAACTATAATATAATTTCATTTTTTTTTTGCAATGAGATATGAAGCTCTATAAAGATAAAATTTTGTTGATGAGATGTGATTAGATTTTTTCTTGGGTTTAATTGATAGGTTAACGGGTCTTGAGTTTAGAAATTTTTAGGCTATGATTAGGGAAAGATCCAAATAGGTAGAGGGGAATTAATATATTGGATCGGTTTGGATTGGATCGATTTTCATCAACCCATCCAAAAACCGATCCAATCCAATTAAAATTTTCGATTTTTAATCGGTTTTCGATTTTTCGGTTATCGGCTTTTCGGTCCGGTCACCGCGGTTTAAATCGGTTTGGATCGGTTGATGAACACCCTTAGTGGTAACGCTGGAAAAAGGGAAATGGGGATGGGTTTATATAACACTAAATTCGTTGGATATTATACCGAATTAGCCATGTGCCAAACCAATTTCGTTATGCCCCATAGCAAATTACTAGGGGCGTGCCTCGTGTCCTTTTTTGTCAGAGAAATTCGCTATGACACATAGTGAACTAGGTATTGTTATGCCACGTGTAGCTCACCTAGTTTGCTATGCCCCATAACGAATTTCTAAGGGGCTGCTACGTGTCCTGCTTTTCTCAGAGGACTGACATTTGACCACTTTGCTTGTACCTATAGTGAATTAGGTGGCCACTAAAAATATACCACAACAGCAAACAAAGTTTGCTGCTTGGTATAGCGAATTATAACGATGACATATTGGAAATTTGTACTATTTGCGTGACATTTTGGAAATTTATTTGGTTAACAGTGGTGTTATGGGCACTGTTCCAACTTTCTTAGCACGAGTAGGCTAAGCCTGATGAATCATCTATCCTTCGAATCCCATGGGCTCTCATGTAAGAGGACGTATTAAAGAAATATAAAGTCATTAATATAGCTTCACCCAATAGCTTAAATTTTTGGTTTGAATTGGTTCTTTATATTGTACTAAAATCTCGATATCACGCGTTCAATTCTCACCACTCCCTATTTAGTTAATAATTGATTAATTTTTATAAAGTTTTTTAGTACATATAAATTAATGATTGCAATGTCCATCCTTCAAACAAAAAAAAAAAAAATCGTGTGTGTAAGTTTTGGGCTGAATTGGTTTGTTTCTTTACACACTTCTTATGTACTACTCTGCCATGGTCCCAAAATTTTCACCCATAGAAACTCCTCTCTCCGAACAAAACAGCTTGCAAAAATTCAAAAAAGAAAAAGTCTTTTTTATTTGCTTGTTGCTTGCTTGTTGTGCAGTCATGCTGCTTTCTTCTTTCCTGTGCTCCATAAAATTCTTTTTTTCCCTCCCATGCTTTCGATTCTTCCACCTCTTTACCAAACAGCAAAACCCTAGATTTTCTCTTTTCAATTAAATTAATTTTCCGAGTTCTTCACCCAAAAGATACTCAAGATTCTGCCCCTTTTCTTCTTGCTTCCCGTCACATCTCCACCTCAGGGTTCTCTGACCTTTTGATTTCTACAACTGCTTCTGCTATTTTCCCTTTGCATAAATCCCCATTTCGTTACGTGGGTCATCGAGAAATTGCCACTTTTTTGCATTGTGATCACGAATGGGTATGGCCAAGTTCTACCAAAGGAACGATTTTTTTTTCTTTTTCTAAGTGGGTTGAATTTTTATTTTTCGGATGAATGATTTGAGAAACATTTTCTTTGTTGGCAAACAGTTTGCAGTTTCAGCAACAATGTCAGATGACATGCTGATGCATTTCTCGTCCAACTCTTCCAACCAATCGGATCAGTCACTTCCTACAAAGATTGCAAAGCTGGAAGCTCGCATGGTGGGTAAGGCTTCTTCCACTGCTGCTCAGCAGTCAGGTTGGCCCTCTCTTCCTTCAGCTGCCAAATTTGGAGGAGCTGCTGCTGAAGATTTGGCTGAACCATCCACTTCCAGTGATTCTGATGATGATGTAAGTCTTGGCCAAATTCAATGCTATGGGTTTGGTAATTTGTCTGCATTTATGGTTATGGCCTGAAGGGTAGCCGTGGCACAATGGCTTGATGATGATGATGATTATGGCTTATTTGTCTGTGTTGCTAGGGATTTTGAATGTTAATTTAGAAGTTTCTTTTGTTTAATTTGTTTTAGTGGTTGACTGGTTGTTTATCTTTCAATGGTTTTTGGATATAATAAGTGAATTGATCAGATTGTCTTTCTCTTCATATTTCATTTCCAGAATGGTGGGGAATTCTTAATACAAGCCAACACACAGAAGCGCTTAAAACTTCAAGAACATGATAACTCTAATGTTTTTGAACATGTTGAGGTTAGTTTTCATCTGATGACTCGGTAGACTCTTTGCTTTAGTAATAGAATAGCTGCATCTCATGTTGAAAATACATAAGCTCCCTGGATAAATTGCTTTCTTTTTGGCTTGCTTTTAAGTGCTTTGTTGTTATCATCTTCTGTTACTAGTATTTTGATGACTTTAGTCATTTGTAAGAAAGGGTACACTTTGTCTCAGAAGTTGTTTCCAACTGAAAAGCTTTACATATCAGGTTGCTACTGATGGAAGACAAACTAGTTTGGAGGCTGTGGAGACAAAAACTAATTTTGATGTGAATAGAAAGAAACACGGTCGTGGAAGAGCGAGTTCTGGTTCAGGTAGGGGCCGCGGTTCCAGAGTTAATGATCAGACCAGAATACAAATTTCTCCTCCAACTGTTTTGGCTTCAAATGGTCAGATTGAGAATGCATACCATAAAGTATGCTCCCTGCCCTGAGACATTTAGTTCTTTATTGTAATTGTCATTTGTCTATTGTCCCTATCAGTTTTTCCTAAACTGGTCTTACAATTGCGATTATATCTATAGTCTACACATGATTGCATGCATAGTTGTAACTGTAAAATCTTTAGCTGATTATAATGGAGACCTGAAATTGAAATCTCTTGGGTTATGGTACAGGACTACAGGAAGCTGATTGTATCTTCCTTAGTCTGTAACTTAAAGGAAATTTGATCGCATTGGTCTTTGGTGCCTTTTATTTTATTTTTATTTTTTAAAATAAGTGATTACTCAACTCCAGTGCAATGTCTTATAAATTGTGCTCTCTGTTCAGCAAGTTTGTTTGGCATTCTGGTCTGGTTGCATCTTTTAGCTGTTTGAAATATGCAAATTAGAGTCTTTCATGTTTCCTATGAATGGAAGATTCGTAGTTTAGGAAAGACATATTGCTTAAGCAATTAATTTTACAGATTGATCATATATATTTTCTCCTTGATTGTTCCCTATAGAGCTCATATTTATTTGCAGGATGGCAGACTCAAAGATCAGTTTCATAATGATAACTGTGCTACATTAGAGGTATAGCTTCTTCTAAACTTTTGAGTTCCACTTGTAGATTTTATGGTAAGTAAAAGAATGGGTAGCTTTATATGAAGATAATAGAAGTTTGATATGACCTCTTTAATTTCTCCCACCAGATCTGAATGACCTCGCTGATACTTTAACACTTCATTATTGTTATATTGGAGGCATTATTAGTTTGTAATTTTCAATTTTTTCATATTTCATTTCATTCTTATCTTAAATTAGGAGGAGGTTGCATCTCTACATGCTAAAGTTGTTGCATTGGAGGAGGAATTGCGTAAATCAAAGCAAGAGACCTCTGATTATCAGAACCTTTGTCGACAGTTAGAAAAGGTATATGAGTACTTGTCAAATCGCAATAAGCATCGTGAATCAGAAGGATGTTTTCTGAATCTTGAATTGTATCGAATCTTAAATTACCGTCATGAATTGATAAATAGAATAAAAAGGGTATACCTATAAAATGAAAGAAAATATTCAGTAATAGTTTTACCCCAAATTTAACTACATGTATATGAAATATGGAAATTAATTTGTTATCAAGAACTAGTAGTACATCTTACATAAATCTCAGATTCAAAGGTAATTAAGTCCAAACTCCAAAAATGACAATAATTTAGAGTAAATATACAATTTGGCCCGTAAAAGATGTTATTGTATTGCTTTGGTTCCTGAAAGTTTCCATATAAATTTATAAATTGGTCCCTGAAGTTGTCAACTTGCTATCAATTTCATCCCATTGAGGACCTATTTGTATAGACAAACTTTTCGGGACCAAAGTAACACAAGTAACATTTGTGACAGACCAAATTATATATAATTTAGAGTACATTTCCAGTAGGGGATGCTACTGTGTAGTTGCTATTATGGTACTTTTCTTTTTCTTTCCTCCTATTCACATGTACCATGGTATTTTCCAGTATAAAAACCTCTGTTGTACCTTTTATATCAGGCTTTTGAAGGAAAAATGCATTTAAATTTGAAATTAATGTGTATTTTCTATTTGGGTTGAGCAGATCTGAACTGGTTTGTTGCAACCTGACTAAAATATCCTCAAATCTACTATGCAGTTACACTTTGTAATTGTATCATAAATGCTCTGACATGGGCTTACTGCATCAAGTTTTTGAAGAAAGTGCAAAAATTTGAAAAATTCATGTATTTTACGATTTAGGTCACAAGATTCAAACCAGGTCCGTTGTGACCTGTCAAAAAATGCCTGTGAATTGGACCAAATTTTGTTATTCAATTTGCTAATTGTATGGTTTTAATAACATTGGCTAAATTAACAAGTTCTCACACTTTTGGGGACAAAGTAACATGGAATACATTGTCAATTGTAAAAATTATAAAATATAATTTATAGGTAATGAAATCAACAGTTGTTCAAATTGATGTGATAATTTTCTGTTCTTTTAATACTTGATTGTGGCATGTGCAGGAACTGAAGGACCTGACAGATCATGAACAGCAAATGAAACCTAAGGTGTGATTATTTTCAGCTTTTGATTGCACAGTAATTGTAGTTAAAGTTTTCTTCTTGAATCTATCAAAGCACTTCATTCCTAACGATATACGTGTTATTTAAAATACAAAGCATTTGATACCCTTGAGCCTTGTGGTGCATGCAATAGAGAGCATACAGTGAATCTTGCTTGTATAAAACTTCTATATGACAGCTTCTTATTGACCCCCCCCCCCCACAACAACAACAAAAAAAAGTTACAGAAAATTCTTTGTACTTTTCATCAATTAAGCAGGCATAGTTATATTTGATCCTTTTATTTTGCAGAGAACAAAAATAATATCGGATTTGTTGATATCAGTTTCAAAGGCTGAGAGACAAGAAGCAAGGCTTAAAGTACGACAAGACTCATTGAGACTTGGAAATGTTGGTGTAATCAGGTATAAGTGGAGCATTGTAAAACATGAAAGAAGAAAACTGAAATATTATTACTTTCTCAAATCAACATGTACAAAGGGTAATACTATATGCAGAGACTAATGGGTAGGGGTGTTTATCAACCGATCCAAACCGCGAAAACCGAACCGAAAAACCGATAACCGAATAAACCGAAAATCGAAAAATCGAAAACCGAAAGAAAACCGCAAATTTTAATTGGATTGGATCGGTTTTCGGATGGGTTGATGAAAACCGATACAATCCAAACCGATCCAATATATTAATTATCCTCTACCTACTTGTCCTTTCTCCAATCATAGCTCAAAAATTTCTAAACTTAAGACTCATTAACTCATCAACTAAACCCAAGAAAAAACTTAGTCACGTTTCATCAACTATAGTATTGTTTACTGATATTTTTGTATTTCAAAATTTTTTTTTACAAAGCCAATATATACAAAAGAAGTTATTTACACAATAATCATGAAACTAATTTTAGGATATTCAAAAAACCGAAAACCGATCCAATCCAAACCGAAAAAAATTGGATTGGATCGGATCGGATTTGAAAAAAATCTAAACCGAATGGATGATTACATGATCAAACCGAAGGGATTGGATCGGATGAGTTTTTCTTCCAAAACCGATCCAATCCAGACCGCGAACACCCCTACTAATGGGCCAAAGAGAATAAAACCAAAACTATATTTGGAAACACTAATCTAGTTAATAAAATACATGACTTACAAATATTTACAACAGTAAGAAATTTCTGTTCATGTCATCTTTTTTTATTATGAATTGTAGAGCTGGAACCATCTTATCTGAGACCTGGGAAGATGGTCAAGCATTAAAGGATCTGAATACCCAGCTTGTATGTCTCGTTTTCTTTCTCTCCCCCTTGTGTTATTTCTTTCTGATTTTGTATCATGCTGTTATTTATTTACTGATTTAATTTGTATTAAAGGATGTTGCTAATTATAATGAGAGAGCACAAAAGTTGTATTTCTTATCTATAAATGGAGTCGGGCAATGCAGGTCAACCCACCCCGCCTTTAACCTGACAAAAAACTGAGAGGGGTAGGTTGACCCACATTTAGAAATGAGTTGAAAACATTAACCCATCATGTTTTATGATGGCAGGTCAATCCACTTAAATAATAAAAATAAATAAATAAATAATTTTGAATATTAAAAAAAGGATTCACCCTCAAGGGTTATAATTTTCTTCATCAAATGATGTTATCTAAACTAGCATAGCTCAAAGAAAATAAAGCCATTCAACACATAAAAGACAAAGTACTTGGAATATCAACTATGCACTTGACATGATGAAACAATATGTCTAAGTGAAGATTGATTGGGTGAGTCAAGAGGGAGAGAGATTGATTAGGGAATTTAGGTTTTATGCATGGAAAGTGAGGAAACATAAGACCCAACACACTTTAGGGAATATATATTTATTTTTTTAAAAAGTAACCCTACGGGTCAACCTCCCAAACTTGGCAGGTGGCGGAATGGTTGTGGCTGATTGGTGGGTTAATAATTACAATCGAACCTGCCAAATATGGCAAGGTTAAATGGGCTGACCTGTCAAGTTGAACTTGTTTTGCTAGCTCTAGCTATAAATAGGTTGTTTATTTTTTTCTAAAGCGATCTACTTTGGGAGTCCTCTTCTGTATAGTTTGCACTAGATAGTTTTATAAATATTACTTGCCAAAAAATATGCAAATTTTAAAGGACAATAAGGGCTTCTTCCTAAGGACCATATGGCATATCCATTAGAAGTTTTTACCAAAGACATTTTTTTGTCTTGGCCCTGAATCCTGATTTACAGAATAATACCGTGTCTGAACTAGCATGACTGTTTCTGTCAAATCCCCAATCATTATATGGGTAAATTTGGAGCCTCTTTACAAATTTTGGTTTAGGAGCTGAATGGGCTTGCTAGATTCATTGAACATGACTCTTTTTTTGAGAGGAGATTGAACATGACTTTTCTATGTATACTAGTGATAATTGATCTTATTAATAGATATTTGGGAAAGAAAATGCCATGCAGATAAGAGACAGAAATTTAAACCTCCTATAATGCTTGAGATATAGATTTGGGCTATTTCATAAATATTCTTATGCATTCTATGAAGACAAACAAAATTGATTGTTTCTGATTGTGCAATTTAACCGTCAACCTCTAAAGATAATATTCATTTGTGTGATAGTGAGATTGTCCCCTTTATTAACCTTCTTAGATTATAAATACCCTCAAACTCGAACCCTTTTGCTTTGGCTGCATAGATGACTGTGTACAATTATAAGGATAGTGTTTTTGGAATTTAAAGTGTTTTCCTTTTTAGTAATATTTGGCCATAACCGGCATATTATGTCAATGGTACTATTACTTTTCTGTCTGTTAGTATTTTTTGCAATTGAAAGTCTTGCCTGTGATAATGATGGTAATTTGCATTAGTAATAATATGAATTCTTTTATGTCTTGATTCTTTTCACAGAGGCAACTAGTAGAAACAAAGGAGGCAATTGAACGGCAGCGCAAATTGTTTAAGAAAAAACAATCTGGTAATATCCTATTTCCTTTTCACTTCCAGCAATTGTGCTCGTAAAGTTGAGTGGGCCAAATTTGGGATTGCCGTTTCACTTTCCCCTCCCCTTCCTTCTTTTAGTTTATACTAGTTGTTAGTATGAACTTTCCATGGATCTTAATGAACCTGTACATTAAATACTTTTTACGTGATGATTTTTAATATCCTTCACCGTCTATTTATTTTCCAGTTACTATACAAATTATAAATGACTATACTCCCCTTAAGATGGCCCAATGGGCATAATAAGTATCTGTTGCGGGCTGTCAGATGCTGTATATTATATTATTCTGCTCACTGTGTTAATAGTTTGTGAATTGTGTTTGGTTTTGTTTGGGTCTTTTCTCTGGTTGAAGACAAGGGTGATGGAACAGAAACAGAGGCTGGATTACCGGAAGATGTTCTCATTCATGATGAAATCTATAAGTCTCGACTAGCTAGCATTAAACGAGTAAGTTGCTACTTTTGCTTGTCTGAATATTTTCTTTTCCCTTTATGTTTCTAATTGCCGAGAAATCTTCAGGAAGAAGAAATTATTTTGCGGGAGAGGGATCGCTATGAACTTGAGAAGGGGAGGTTGATACGTGAAATGAAACGCATACGGGATGAAGATGGCTCACGGTTTAACAACTTTCAGATTCTAAATCATCGCTATGCCCTTCTAAACCTTCTTGGGAAGGGAGGGTTCAGTGAGGTGTACAAGGTCAGAACTTCTATAAATATAATAACAATCATTTGATCATGTTGATATTATTTTAGCAAATACTGTAGAAGGTTTAGAGCTACTAATACCAGAATCTAGACAGTTCCTTTGCCTATATTGGCAATTGTAAATATATACCTTTTTGCAGTGATTTGAAGTAAGAAATTTCCAGCAGGCTTTTGACTTGGTGGAGCATAGATATGTTGCCTGCAAGCTTCATGGTTTAAATGCTCAATGGAGTGAAGAGAAGAAGCAAAGTTACATACGGCATGCCATTCGGGAGTATAATATTCACAAGACCCTGGTGCATCGTCACATTGTTCGTTTATGGGACATCTTTGAGATTGATCAAAATACATTCTGCACTGTTCTAGAGTACTGTAGTGGTATATATACTTAACCGTTTTATGAAGCCCATTATTTTGTTTATTTTGTGACAGACTATAAATATTACTTTGAATCTGAATCACTTTATAATCTTTGTTTGATTTCTTGTTTTATATGCCCCTCCCTCGATTGATCTTCCTCTTTTCTTCCAGGGAAGGATCTTGATGCTGTCCTTAAAGCAACACCTATATTGCCTGAGAGGGAGGCCAGGGTCATTCTAGTTCAGATTTTTCAAGGCCTTATTTATATGAATAAAAGAACACAGAAGATTATACATTATGATTTAAAGCCTGGAAATGTTCTGTTTGACGAGCTTGGTATTGCCAAAGTGACTGATTTTGGTCTTAGCAAAATAGTGGAGAATGATGTGGGATCCCAGGGTATGGAACTTACATCCCAGGGAGCTGGAACATATTGGTAAGTGATGAAGATCATTGTTAATGGAATTTGAAATTTGAAATAGTCCAAATGTGTAGGTTTCAAGCTTCACTTTCCTCATCCTCTTCTGTTTTGAGTTGCATTAAAATAATAGTTTAGATGTTAGTTTGAGTTATGCATATGCTAATACAGACTTTTGTAGAGTCTATCTTTTGAGATGAGAGAAGTGGTTTATATTTTCTTTTCTTTTTTCTTTTTTTGATATACCGACCCAAATTACCTTTTTGGGGCAAGTCAGCTTCGTAGGTATCCCGACAAGTTTCAACTCTTTGAATCGGCTATGGGACTAATCCCGAGTCAGAGCATAGTCACAGTTAAAGCTCTTTGCCCTTCCCCAAAGATGTATTTGGTGGAAATCGAAATCATGTTCTCTCCCCACCTACTCAGCTGTTTTGCTAACCGAGATTAATGTTGTTTGTCTCCCCTATCTCTATATCTATACTGAGAAAAAATGATCAGTTTAGGAAAGATGGCCCTAGCTCAGTATCATATATTAACTTCTTAACTATCCTCTCAGGTGTAGTAACATCAACATCAACATCACCTTTACTCCAAATTAATTGTGTGCGTGATAGGTATTAGAGATTAGGAAGCGAAAATTAAAGCAAAATGTAATTATATTATTGAACTCAGTCTCAGACTCAAACGATAGTGTTAACAGTATTCCCCAATCTGAATTACAAGTAATTAAAAGCAAATTACAAATATTGAAATCTGATATAACAGTGTGAGACAATTACAAGTTGAAATAAGTACTATAAATGCCTACTACCCAGAACAATTAGAGAGGCCCTGGTTCTCTCCCAATTCACCCAAGAGGATGCCCAAAATTCCCAGATTCCAAGATTCCCTTCCCTCACACTCACTGCACCTATTTGTAACAAACTTGGTAACGTCCCCTTGCTGTAAACGTGACCACACCCTTGCTCATTGCTTGTTGTTGCTGTCCACGTCTGTGGTTCCACTATCCACATGAGTAGTCCCACTAATTTCACCCAGTACAGCTGACTCATCCTGTCCATGTGTGTTCTGAATTCTATTGTATTTCTGCCTCCTCTTATAAACATGGCCAAACCTGCCCCTATTGAACGTATCAACATCAATATCACCTTTACTCCAAATTAATTGTGTGTGTGTGTGTGTGTGTGTGTTGTGGTGGGGGGGGGGGGGGGGGGCACATGTAAAGTTAAATTAAAAAAAAAATCTCATAAATGACTTTGTATAAAAACAATAATCTATTTTAGGGTTATGAATCCATATAAGATGATGGTTTATGGAAGTATTGGTGGATTATTAATTTATATGAATGTTTTCAGCTTTTTATAAGATTTTATATCTCTGATTTTTTACGTGCAATTTTGCCATTGTGAGTCATTAGTGCTAATCTAGATTCTTTATCTTTATCTTCCAATCAATATGACTTCAAACTTTGATACTCCTTTGTAGGTTTCCATGATCTTTCAACATTTACTTTGGGAAAACCTCTTTATGACACCTTTTCTTTTTTGAATTTGCAGGTATTTGCCTCCTGAATGCTTTGAGCTCAGCAAGACACCTCTGATATCATCAAAGGTAAAAAAAATTCTAAGTTGTAAATACATGTATAACTTTTTTTATTTTGATTTTAATTCTCATTTTCTCAGTCATTTTGGTCAAAGGATATTTGAGTTTAACACAAGTTTTATGATGGTTGGGATTGTGCAAAGAATCACCTTCCATTTGATTCTTTGGTTTGGCTCTTTTCTGACTTGTGTTGTGAAAGATAGGTTGATGTCTGGTCTGCTGGTATTTTGTTCTATCAAATGCTCTTTGGCAGACGTCCTTTCGGGCATGACCAAACACAGGAGAGAATACTTCGTGAAGACACAATTATTAAGGCACGCAAGGTTGAATTTCCTTCTAGACCTACTGTTTCTAATGAGGCAAAGGTGAGGTGCACCCTTGTTCTGATAATTGCTTCCCGTGGCTGCTTCTTCTTTGGGCATCTTTTATTTATTTATTTTCTTCTAATATTCTGTGATGGACAATCTTTGCTTCTTGCAGTTTATATTTATGGTAAATTTAAATAAATATATATATATATATATATATATATATATTATTGAAAAAAAAACACCTATTCTTCATTCCATGTGCTGAGTGCAGTTAGACATCATAATCTATCTGAATATGCAATTTCCCCCTTCATATCACAATGCTATTAAAATTATTGAATTTGATAGTTGAGGGTAATTTGCACCAATGAGAAAGTATTGGGGGTGACTTGCAAACAGAGTAAAGTTGAGGGTTTCATTTTAAAAATTTACCCTTCTAATTATGTCAGTGCCAGAACCATAAAAATCATTCAGAGGCTTGAGCATGGAACTACAGTTCTAACTAAATTTCCTCCTCTTCTTTTTCTAATGAAAACCTATCAGATGTTGGAAGGTTGTCGTTCCCATTTAAGACCCCAAATATACACATGATTATATCTGGTGTTATATTTTCATTTTCATTTATACAGTTTCTATACATAGCTGTAGAAAATAGTGTCTACAATTCTTATTGTCAAACCTGACAAGTATCTATACTGTTCCTACAATTTTTTGTCAGGATTTTATCCGGCGGTGTCTAACATATAACCAGGCTGAGAGACCAGATGTATTAACCATTGCTCAAGATCCATATCTCACTTACTCAAAGAAGTAATGACGTACATTGACATGGCTTTGTTACTCAGACTCCATAGAAAGAATTGAGGATCTCATCTTCTAACACAAGTTACTGATTATCTGTCAGATTTTGTATAGGTTGTAAAGATTTTGTTATCTTGTCAATGAGGTAGAGAGGTTCTCTTCGTGCATTTATCTTTTGGTTCAAAATATGGGCGGAGCACAAGGCAAGTGTGTTTGACTTGACCTTAGAAGGGTATGTATAGATCCTCACAAGTGAGAAAGCTTTCCTAATTTTTTATTACACTTGCCCCCAAATTTTAGGATATTAATGCTTTTTCTTTTATTTTTTCCCCCAAGCTAATAATTAGTGGAGAGAGAGGTGCTTTAAGTATATCAGATAAAGGGCTTGTTTATTTTATAATTGGCATGTCCAAATGGTATAACAAACAAGCAAAAATTAAACGGAAATTTGGGGCTTCTTAGCAGCTCTTTTTGACCAGGAACATTGTTATTGAAAATTACTTTAGTACAATGAACTAGAGTGTCTCATAAACGCACCAGCTATTATTTGTTATAACATTTATCGTTGCAGAAGTCATTATTTTTAGGGTGTACTATAATTTATACCCTTTAATTTTGATTCATGTATAAATTAGATCTTAAGATTCATAAAGGTGCAATATCCGTCTTTATTTCAGTTTGCAACGAAACACCGTCCATCAATGAAAGTATTATTTGACAGAATTACCATCTAATTACCATGACCCCTAAGAGTGGAAAATTTGAAAGATTCTTTCAACCAAATTAGCAAGGGTTTTCATTTTTTTTGTTTAAAAAAAAATGCCATTGGCACGGCAGGCTTTATGTTCATTTGGTCAAGAATAAACCATTAGAATTGACACGGCAAAAAGAAATGGAAAAAAAATTACCAGCTATATCTATAAAGATAGAATCCTGAAGTTGGGTAGCGCAACTGCAGCAAAACGCTAGCCAATTCAACCGTTAAAGAATAATACGTTATTATTGAAGTAAATAAGGCAAAAAAGCAGAGTTCTTTTTGTGCTGGTCGTAGTGCAATTTGGCTAATATGAATTCCATGCTAGAACAAAACACATCCACCACCTAAAATAAAATTTTATTCCGGGAATAATGGATGATGATTAGCTTAATTTACAGAACGCTTTTCAACCAGAAGTTATCTCAGCAACAAATAAAAACAAAAACAAAATATTGTACGCTAAAAACACAATAAACTAATTCAAATACATAGATGGAAAAATGAATGAGACAAATGTTAACAAGGACTAGGGAGAAGTTGAAGTTAAGCACAATCTTCACCACCTTACATGATTACCGGTTAAGAACTCAGGAGCAATAGCACTAAGTTTGTGGGTAACAAAGAGGAACATATCTCTCCATGATTTGATCGGCAAATTAATCTCCTAGTGAAAGGTTGTTGGTGATGTTCAGTTTTACTAAATATATTTTTATCTTGAAAAAAATTTATGTAAATTTATATGCAGTCAAATGGCAAAGCTAATACTTCGGAAAAGATCTGTCCCAAAATTTCAATTATAACAACCAATTAGCAAATAATTTCATTCACAGATAAATATATTATGACAATCCATTTCTAGTTTGTAAATAAATGTGAATTTTTATGGCCAAATACAAACAACCGTATAAAATTCAATGCCCACCAATGTAGATATACTTTCCCCTGCGATGCCAACATGGATTAAAATTTTCTTTTCTCTCTGCACTGGAGGAGCAAACTCAAGGAGCTCTTTTATAAATATCTAACTTGTAATTATATAAAAATGATCTACCTAACAGTCTGTTTCTGTTGCCATTTTCTGTTTACGCGACCTCTTCCTTTTCCTAGTTCTCTTCTGCACTGCGTTGTCTGCTTTCATTTCCTGCATAAAGGTAACAATCAATGAACATCTAACAAATCCCTAGTAAACAAAATTTAACTTCAGCAGATAAAACTAATTTAAAAGGAAGCATTCTAAACGTACTGTAAAAGGCAATTTGGAATTTACTCAAAGTCCATGCTAAAACAAACAGTCGAATAGGAAATATATTTTCATTGATATCTAAACTGTTTTGTAGAGTTCCAAAACAAATAATGCTATTAGCAGGCAACGTTTTGAACACCTTTCACATGTAATCTCTTGTTATCACTAAATCTCGCTCATAAAAATATTGCCTATATAAAATCAATCGGATACGCAACTTGGAACATTATTCAGTGTCCATTACCATGGCAAAGCCAGCTCAAAAGGGTAAATCTTAAGTACAACTGCATTCAATTGTTTAGCAGATTTCCCAGAACATGTTTGAAAAATGCTATATGCATACCACTTCTACACACATTCACACATTCACACATTCTCTCACATTCAATATTTAATCATTAAATCTTGCACAGTAGAAAGCTGGAATAGACAGGGAAAAGCTTCAGAAAAAGGAATATTGCCTGCCCAAGTATCTTCCCAAAATCTAACTTTTGAGCCATCATCCAGCTTTAAAGGAACAAATGGCATAAAAGAAGAGAACCTCGTGAAATGAATTTCTAAGGACTTGCTTGAATCACATTCTTTGCTATGCTGGCATCCCAGCCACTTAATGAAGACCACGCTTCAAGTCAATTTACCCAGTTTTTATTTGCTATATGACTTGGATATTGATTTATATTTAAGCTTAGATTTCAAATTCTTAGCTACATTATAAGTTAGTTAAATTCAACATACTAATATCAACATTAGTGAAAAAATTTATGCTATTTTTAATTATTGACTATGAATCTTATGATTCACAATTTCACAACTGATACGACTGGGCTGGGCAATGGAGGGCAGCCATCCATGTGGAGAGTTTACACTAGGAGAAATATAGCCCCTAGGCAAGCTATAGGTAGTGAGTTTCCATTCAGTTAGGAAAGGTCGACTTTTCTTTTAAGAGGTCAATTATCCCAGGAAGGAGGATTATTCCTCCTCTTGTACTGTTATTCAACATCAATAAAGATTCACATTTTGTCATTCCCTTGTGTTTATGCTCTGTTCTTCTATCTCTTAGTGACAGAATAATTTCTGGAGCGTAACAACAATTTCAATGTAATGTTTTTTACACTATTATCTACTGATGTGCCGGAAGAGTTAGACAACATGGGTAGTTGTTGTAAAAGTAAAACTCATTTAATGATTTGGCAATCTATGATTGAAGCTTCACCCTGACAGTGAATCAAATTAAATCCGAAGTTTATAAGGTAAGTGTTTACATGACCAAATTGAAGAAATTTATAAACCCTGCCAACCCTACCTTCAAAGGAGCAAGCTTTTGGTTTTCACAACTTTTCTTCTTCTTGCACGAAAGTGGGTTTGGACCCTGCAAAGTTGAAATGTAATATCATAAAAATGTGACACAAAACTAATGGTAACCATGAGGTGCTTAAACAATAAAGCTTTATTCAAATTAATTAAAACTCGTTCACTTGTAAAATTAATTAGCCCAACTTTCTATGCAACTGCATCAAAACTGCAGATAAAAAACAAAAGGGGAATCGCAAAGAAATTAATTCCTAGAAAAAATAATTCCAGTATATTGGTTAACACAATAATCAAAGAGTGGTGATTTACTAAACATTTTGTTAACAAGTTAAGTCATTAATCATTCCTAAACTGAAAAATTATACCAAGAATTTCTTTCTTTTAATTTCACCAAAAAAGTAAAATAATATACATATACCAAGATTTGCTCATCTTATATGTAAAACACTTGCCTACAGTTTAAAATCTGCACATACCATTTTTCCAACTAATGCCTTTCATTGTCAAAGTTCCATAAACAACCTTAATGCTTGAGGAAGCAATGCCTCCTATGGACAAGAAATACGCAAGACAGGGGACATGTCTAATATACAAGACAGCCATATAATTGAAGAGAATGACAATCAAAAATGAAATCATCATGACTATATGTTTCCTTAGATTGTGGGATTAGGTTTTCATTTTCCTGAAGAATAAAATTAGCAAAATGCCAGCATGAACCTGGTTGAATCTAATTCCAATGCTACAACACAAGTATACTGTTTCAGCATAAATGTACTTTCATTGAGACCAACCAATCAAATTGATGCATAATTAATAAAACAAAAACAAAAGGAATGAGAAAACAACTGGATTATAAAAACTAAGTAAAGCTTTATGCATTCAATCCCCAGAATATGTGAAAATATTAGAATGTCTGTGACTCATTTTGAACGGTTCATAAGAATTTCATTTCCTAGTTCCTACAGATTTCCATTAATGAAGTTAGCCACAACCACAAAATGGTAAAAGCTATAAGCCTAAAATATGGTAATCAGAACTCAAACGAGCAAACATATACAGCACAAGTGTAAATTATAACCTTTGCTCTTTTTCTCTTGAACTGAGGTTTATCCTTGATGTCCAACTGATTCCTTGCTGTAATACTCCTTTTTACTTCCTGCACATTTATGGTCTGATCTCCTGAACCCTCATTTTCCATTATTTCAGTAATTGAATTTTTGGCTTCCTCGCCAGCCAATCTATTTATTACCCTATCATTAAATATCTGGTACTCTTTCTTGGTCATATGCAATCGTCCTTCTTCAGAAATTTTGACATATTGCCGCTGAAATGCAGATGGAGGTTCAAGGAAAAGAGCATTTCTGAGACCAAATACAAGAGGCACACCAGGTACCTGCAATAAGCAGATTAAGAACAATAAATGTCTGTCTGAGGGTACAATTCTACACATCTTGCATCATTATAACAGCACCTCAACATATTTACAAGAAGTTTTCTGATTTTTCTTTTAATGAGTAAAGCATCATGCTCAATCAGAAAATGTAAAAAAGAAGTACATAAGGAACAAAAAGTACGGTAAATAACTTATGTAAAAATAGAAACCCTAGCCGAAGAATGAAAAATGAAACACAGCCATTTAAAATTCATAAGGTAACAACTAACAAGCTAGAGTTGAAAAGAACATGGAACAGACACCAGGCCAACGAGATGTTCTAGAATTTTCTCTTCAACCATTCCTGGAAATGCTCACCTACTGCTCTCAAAGCTAAAATCATCCATAATATAGATGTCCATGAAAAAACTAGCGTACGACTCAATCAACAATGCCAAGTTAGAAAGATGATTCAAGCATTTAGGCAAGGTGATGTAGCCGAGGGGTTAAAACTGAAATGTGATGTTAATGTAAAGGCACAAAGGGTTGAATGAAATAGGAGGAGTCCACCAGATTGGATAGAAATCGAAAAAGACTTCAGAAATCTAATCCCCTTCAATAAGAAATAGTCAAAATAAATAAGTCTGACTTGGAGTACTTCACTGGTTTGATCTGATGACAATTCCATGAAAACTCCTATTTATAGAACCTTGTAATGTTCTACAGCTGACTGAACAATTGATTTAAATAACAACTTAAACTAACATTTAGACTACCTTATATTAATTAGACCTCTAATTACAAGATCATACTTTTGAAGAACTAAATAAACTTATCGAATGCATATAACAATGACTTTTGAGATGTTCACTACCAAGAACATATTCTCATTCTCAAGACAAATGTATTCCAAGTTGATAAAGGAAAGATTCTATCCGAATATCATTCAAGTATACAGTTCATTAATTATGCAAATAGATTTTTATCGTGATTACAAAGAAAATATTAAAAAGAAACCTAACAAATCTAACTGATGCTATCAACATTTAAAAAAAATTATATTAACCTCTTGCAACTTTTTCCGCAGATCGGTGTCCTGAGTAGCGATAAAGAAGTGCCCAGAATTATTTTCTCCAACAACCTCCATGACGCAGGCATCTGCCCCAATACATTTGTCATGCTCACATCTGCAAATTGGTGTTTAGATCAAAGTAAATGAACATCTCAGCAATGATTGTGCTAAAATATCTTAAAACACGAGTGAATAAACCACAATGAACCTAGATGGTCCACTAATAGACCATCAGATGCAGAGGATTGCGACTAAAAATACAGCTTCATTTCTTCAAGTTGGAGAAATTTTTAACCTAACATTTCTCAGAATCAGAAAACTTAAAATTAAAATTAACAAGTAGTCCTATAAGATCTGCATGTGATTTGCATGACCCTCAGCATCTTGACTCAATGAGGATAAAGTAGGTTAATTGTTAGGCAAGGAGCTAAAGGTGGCTTTCTCAGCAAATACCCATAGTGCAAAGAAGAAGAGGGTAAAAAATGAACTTCAAATATTAGCAACAATTGTAAAGTAGAGGGCCTAAAGGATTTAGAAGCTTTAGTTAGCCTCTTCTTTTGAAGCGGTTTCCTTGTTGAAGGCAAAAGGAAGTGCTATTTCATGTTTATTTTTAATATATAAAAAACTACATTGTCCAAATAAGCTGGCCAAAATGTGCTGAGCCAGCCCATTTGACACCTCTATTTAATGAAGCCTGAAAGAAAAAAGCATATGTTCAAATTTCAAGCGGTTGTGGTTGTGGTTGTGGTTGTCCAACCTTGATCTTTTGTAATACATGTATATCATAATGAAACAAAAAAAAAAGTTTAGGAAATAATATATTTGACATCATATGTGATCCAGCAGTAAGGTGTATGCATATATAGAAAGAGAGGAAAGAAGACCTTGCAATTATGAGTTCATGAGCAGCCTCAAGGGCCTCAGAATATGAGCCACCAAGTCGTTTCAACTCAGCTAGAACACATCTGCATCATCTTCATCCAAAACCAAATTAACAAAAAAAAAAGTACAGATAAAGAAGAAACAAAAAGGATCCAAAACGAGACAAATTACATTTTATACCAACAATGATGACAAAAGAAACAGATGTTAAGAAATCTACATTAAAAATAGAAATTAGAAAAGAAAAAAAAAGGGGGGGGGGGGGGGGTGAAGAGAGAGACCTGGTCGTGTACAGCTTGACAGTAGCATTGAGGATGCTGTTAAGGGCCTTGTCAGCAGGTGTTATACGATTCGCAATAAGGTGATGCACAAATGTTCCATCACATAAAATCTTGAAAGGCTTTCGGAAACCAAAGCAAGCAGTGTAAAACGTCAAAGTCTTCCTATGCCTCTTCTGCTTTTTCACCTTCATCTGCTAAAACAGACAGAAAGCAAGTATTACCACATAGAAACTTAATGGATATATTTTGCCATTCCAGGCCTGACAAAGACGACAAAGACCACACCACCCAAAACCATGTTTTGCAGTACATATCAGACGAATGATCTGCTTCTTCCCTTCCCAAAGGCCCCAAACTCTCACTCAACGACTGTATCCCTTCCTTTATTATCCTTCCCTCCCTTATTATCCCTCTTCTGTCCCTTACTCACAATGAATACATTATCTTGGTTCCCTACAGTATATTCCAGTACCAGCCTTTTCTATTTCTCTTAACATACACTTCAAAATCCAAATTCCAAAGGAAGAATAAATCGTAAAACCACGACAATAATTGTATAGAAAACAGAATGTGTTATGAAACTGAGCATTTTGAAACTACTATAAACAATACATAACACTTTATAATTAAAGTTTTAAATTAAACTAACTAGACAAAATATGCCATTAAATAAAAGGATTTCAAGCATCAAAACAAAAACTAACCGCGACAATCCCTTTTTGTAACTACAGAACCGCGATTCTTGTGCTAGGGCAAATCTTCTGAGAGCACGAACTGAAATTTCACCTTGGTGCTTGTGCTAGAACCAAACCCAGATACCCGACGGCGAGAGAGAAGAAAGCACGACGCGAAGATGCTAGTAGCGGGAGAAAACAGAATCAGCCGTGCTGTGCACATCAAGGGCTCTCAAAATGGACTGCCATGGGCTAAACCCTAAACCCTGAATTGGGCTGTCCTGTCCTGTCTCGAGTTGGATCGGCCCAGTTTTTCAACTTGGCAACAGAAAAGTCAAGTGGTGCGGACAATGTGAAGTGCCCATTTCAAATGTGCAAAGCTACTCCGCTTTCATGCTTGGAACTATTTTATTTTATTTTGGATTAATCATGCTTGGAACTATTGATTATTGATATTAGAAGAACAAAAATCGAATGGCCGGGATAATAATAAGTGTTATATTTCTAAATTTATTTTTGCTAATTTCAGTTTTGTTTGAATTTTTTATTGCAGAAGAAAATATTCATTCATATACTTATATGATAAAATGGAATGAATATTTTTGTTAAAAAAAAAAACAAGTGAAGAATAACGGTGAATAAACATGTGAATTTATTAAGTCATTGAATCATCATTGTTCGTGTAAGTTACATATATCACACCTTGAGATATGCAGATCATTAAGAGGAGCAATAGAATTGGGGTCTTCTTCGAGAAGACTCCCTTGAGATTGAGATGTGAGAATTTCAAATTATTTTCGACATGATTATTGAACAATTATGTATATTTGCCTCGTCTTATATATATGGAGGTCATTTGACTTCAGAGTAAGACTTAATCTTTATAAAAGTCTTACTCTGGAGTCAAAAAAACTCTCCCCTATATATATATATATATATATATATATATATATATATATATATATATATATATAGGGTATGATTATTTTACACCGGTGTTAGAATAATAAGTCTTACACCAAATTTTAACCATTGATTTTTTGCATCTAACGGTTAAGATTTATTAGGTCTCGCTCATTAATTAATTTTTAATTCTCAATAAATCTCCACCGTTGGATGCACGGAAATCAATGGATAAGATTTATTATTCTTTCGTCGGTGTATGTTGATCATATATATATATATATATATATATATATATATATATATATGAGTTATGATTGAATGTTTTTTATTATATATTGATATGAATATTATACGCTAAAGATTGTAAAATACATAAAAATATATTTTGAAGAAATTGTGAATGTAATAAATGTTACTAAATTTAAATAAAAGACTAAATACTCATACATTAAGGGAGTGTTTGGTGGTATGGGATTTTTGATTGGAATGATGGGCAAGTGGGTTTGGTAATAAATTTTCAGCATGTTTGGTATGAAGATAGTAAGTAATTCCTAGGCAAAAAATATCTCGAGCATTTGAGTTGTTAACTAAAATGAGGATAAAAAAAATCCTTCTCTACCTGTGGTATTTATTTTTTCGTTGATTGTGGATTGTGAGTGAATTTTTTTCTAACTAAAACGCCCTCTTCTTTCACAGCCAGACACCATGTGTTATAAAACTTCAGCATATATATATATTTAAATATATATATATATATCAGTGAAGGCCTTATGGGCTGTAAGGTGCTCGTAGGGAGAGGAATTACGAATACAACAGGGCTATCAAAAAACTTACACCCATTCACTTTCCATTTCATCGGTTGTCTTGTGCACTGTGATGAATGTCAATGACCCACAACACCGGTTACAGGGACAGAGCTAATAATATAACTTTTCCAACATACTGAGATGGACCACGTACTAAAACGAACGTTGAACAATAGACGTACAAAATTGAAAAAGGAGGGGTAATTTGGTAAATTCAATTAACATTCTCATCAATATTTTACCATCAACCAAACGTAGTATAGTAAAATTAACCCTACTTTCCTGGAAATATTTTGGTCTACCAAACACCTTTTTAATACTTTCTTTTGAAAAATAGTTTCCTACCATACAGTGGCGGAGCCGGCTCAAAAATTTAGGTGGTGTCAAAAAATTTGACATATTAAAAAATTTGACATATTAAAATATTAAAATATTTATTATAATTATACAAATTTATCAGAGAAAAAATTTACTATGAATTTTAACATAGTTATTTAAATTATGTACTAAATAATGTCACACAATATTAAAAATTCAAATGAACAATTAACGTTGATTATATATCAAAGCAAACATATAAAAATGTACTAACCTTTTCGGTAAATATTTCAAACATGAGAATTTTACTTTCCTCCCACGACATATTAAGTAATGAACCAAACATTATCCTAAGGTAAAAATTTTGTGATTAAGTTTAGAAATAGGTCAACTAATCATTTTTGTGACTAAGTTTAGAAATCTTTTTTTTTAAATAATAGGAGTAAGAATAAATAACATAACTGATTAGAATAAAGCTGAAAAAAAATATACATGGTAAAAAATAAAAAAAAGGTAAAACACAAAAATAATCATACTATACATGTTCTTTATTATTTGTTTGCATTTAGATAGTTTGTTGTTACTTTGTATTGAGTATTTAATTTTATATTTAGATGGTGCCAAATTATAATTTTTACCTTGATTAATTATAATTAATTATATAATAAGTAAACAACAACAAAAAAACAAGCAGGTGCCAAGGCACCTGCTGCCTCGGCTGTAGCTCCGCCGTTGCTACCATATTCTTAGAAATATTTTTTCCCAGGTAAAAAAAATATCTCTTATACCAAACGCCCCCTAAAAGTCAAATCTTTTGATACATTTATTGGTAAACAATATTGTTAGTTTTTTTTTACATGAATTTATATTTTCATCTAAAATTAAAATCTTCAAATCTTCGTAAATTTTACTTTAGAAACAACAACATACAATTGTCCATGGGTAAAAACATACTTCGATAAGAATAGTCCCACATAAGAAAGAGATTGGTCGTGACTCTTATTAATGGTCATGGCAAAGTATAGACTAATTGGAAATTGTCTTCTTTCAAATCTCAAATGAATGCCAGAATCTGATAGAATCATATTCATTTGTGGAATGTAAACTTTGTGATAAATATAATTTCTTGTAACGATAGTTGCACCAATAATGTTGTTATTTTATAAATATTTATTTTATTATTTCCTTTATTGATACATATTTTTGATATTATTTTTTGAGTTTAAATCACAAAACAAAATTTTTATTTTATTTTTCTTATTAATATTATTTTTTATTTAAATTAATCATAAATCAAATATTTTTTTTATATTAAAAATTATAGATTTTGATTTAATTTTCGTATAGTAGGATACATGATACGTATCGTATGATAAAGGATTGCTTTATGTCATGTTTCATGCATGTATGAGCCATTTAAATCCTTTTAGATATGATAACTTGGGTGCCAAGGAAAGTATGAAATAGCATGATTAATGCACGTGTAATTGTTGAGAGATTAAGTTGGAGGGGGGTTATCTCATAGTACATAGCTTAAGTAGTGTATAATTTAAGAATGAATGTAATTAGTAAATAAGATAATTAGGGAGCAAGTAATGCATAATGCTATTGACTTGATATACAAGTAATCATTATAAAATAATATAAAATTGGAAAAAGTTTATCCGCATTTCCACTTAATAATTCTAACGTTATTTTCGCTGCAAGTAATTAATATTAAGTTGCACTTAATACCATAAAGTAAGATAACAAATCGGCTCGAGACAGGGTGTTACACTTGGAATCACTGATTCCATATAGGAATCCAATAATGTCTACAAGCATCGATTTTTATTAGTTGTTATAGATGAATAATAATGCGTTGAAGAAATAGAAGATGACGTTACCAACTAAACATGCAGTGTCATTATGATACTTTTCAACATCCTTGAATTCCACGAATGAAAAATCACTGATAGGAAGGTTGTCATCGACACTCTCTGTCACAACAATTCTTAGATTAAAAGTAAGACCATACTCATGTTGCATTGACTTAAATTATTTAAAATTATGGCCAGCACCAAAATTTCATATGACATACATTCCACATTATGCTAGTTGATCTCTTATCCTTATGGAATCCCGTAAGTCTTTATAACCTTACCACCTGTTATTACAAAAAAGAGGAGCCATAAACAATGTTTAATAGATGTATAAATTAGAAAAAACTAATTTCCACGACAAAAGTGCATAACAAAACTCAAATGTTCATATATTAAAATCATATCGACATTGTCTCCCATCTCCGGTCGATAAAAGTTGGGCGGCCTCCAGAATATAATAACCTTAACTTTGATCATCTATTGCTCTTTATATGGTGTCAGACCACGTATGAGATCAAATCTAGTAGCCATTTAAGCAGATATCGAAACACAGTTTGGCTAGAGAACAAATGAATGTATATTGTTTAATGAGTCAAACGAGTCAGCAAGTTGGGCTTATGATATGAGTTTGACTCATCAAATTGATGTTTATATTTTTCATTTAGGAGGTGTTTGGCTCGCCGCTTTTTAAAGAAACCTATGCAAATGTAAGAAGGATTCTTGAAATGAGATGTTTGGTTTAGGGTGATTTAGTGAGAAAGCTATCCATCCAATTTGCATGGGTTTTTAGATTTTGGAACAGAATGATAGGTTTATTTACTGTTGAGAAAGCTTTTTGGGAGGTGGGTTTTTGTTAAAAAGCTGGGTAATCTCACCGTTCACTCAAATTTTTCACTATATATTACCTCCAACCAAATATACATTTCCTAAAAGTTACCTAATTTTTCCAATAAAGTTTTTTCCCACCAAACAACTTTTTTTAACATTTTTCTATCTATCTCACTTTATCTCACTTTCTTACCATTTCTCTATCAATTCTATTTCCCTAGTATTCAAAAAATTTCTCCTCAACCAAACGCCCCCTTAATTTTAATTTTGAAGTTAGTTTATGTTTCTCATGTAGTTTTCATTTTTAATTTATTTTTCGTTTTTCATTTAGTTTCTGTTTTCATTTAATTTACGTTTTTCATTTTGTTCCCATTAAAGTATAAACTAATTTTTTTTTTGGGATGAAAAAAATCTGCTATTGCTGACTCATTTAGTTTTCGTTTTTCACGTAGTTTCTA